TTTGATCCTTTCTATTGAATTTGAAGCTTTTCAAACATGTCATGAAATTCTATGTTTTCATGCAGTCAGATTCCTGACAATTTGTCTTCTCTACACCTGCAGCTTCTACATTCTCTAGCTTGCGTGACGGAAGTCCTTAACTGGATTATAATGCATACTTCTTGCTTTGTTCCCTGGAGCCAGATAGCAGGGTGAATGAAGTCCCTTACCTTTCCTTTTCTATTGATTCACTAGTAACGGTCTGGCTTTCCTTTTCTGAAGGCTCGGCTCGGATTGTTATTGGCAGTCCATAGTGAGTGGTGGTAACTGAGGAACAAGTTAATGAAATGTTATATGGGAATATGTTACAGGAGGAGAACTAACTTGTGTGAGATTAGTCCAGTTTGAGTAGAAATCTTTCTTTCGCTGGCATTACAGTGCAAGTGAGAGAATTTAGGCAAATTTCTGATTTAGGCAAATCTCTTCACACACTGTTTTGCAGCAGCGCATGTCGTTTCCCCTTTCTCATCCTGGTTTTCTTACAGTCCAATGCAGTAATGCTCTTTGTTGCCTTCTGTCTCAAAAGATAGACTCTTAGTCCTCAGTTGTAATATTTTTTTTCTTCCTCCTTCTATATGGTCTTGTCTGTATCTCCAGCTTGCTACAGAAGACCATTTTCAGTATTTTAGAGTTTGACATTTGAAAAGTGCGGCCAGCCCAGCGTGGATGACAGATGTTAAGATTTGCTTCTGCTGTTGGCATATTGGCTCATTTTAATACTTCACTGTTGGATAATCTGTCCCTCCATAAAATAAGACAGATTTGATGACAGTAGTCATTTTGCACAGAGTCAAGTTTCTGAATGTAGCATTGGTTTTAAAGGCAAGAGTTTCAACAGTTGAACAAAAGTGAGCATCTGGCTAGCATGTTGATGCCCTGCTGACACCAAATTCTGCTTTGCCAGTGTCCAAAATGAGCTAACTACTTGATTAAGTTCATCAACTCTGTATAGGTTCTCCCCAAATATGGAGACTGCTTGATTACTTTCAGAGGAGCATTCTTGCTTAAAAGTAATAAGCTAATGGAAAAATTATTTGCTGATTACAGTTTTTTTTGTCTGACTTTTTAAAAAAAAATTGTCAGCTGTTGTGATGCTTCAAAGGAGTTTTTTTGGTAGCTAGAAAAGGTTTGATCATCTCTCTTACAAAAGAAGCCAGTTACATAAGCTTTCATTTGAATAATGTATTTGTAAAATTAGACCATTGTTAACTTGAAGATATTCTGACCATCCTACCTAGTGTCATTAGGGAATCTATAAAATTGTTAATGTTGGAGCCATCCACAGCTGGGGAAGCTGGGAAGAAGAGAAGTAGTTGGATTGTGGAGGAGGGAGGAAGAAGGAAGGACTGTGCAGATGTGCAGCATGTCTAGAGAAGAAAAAACTGCACAGCATATGTGAGGAGAGAAGAATTGGTAGAAATAGATTAAATGAATAGCTAAATAGGGCAGTGTGACTTACTACTTTCAAAAGGCCAAAACTTTTATTACATTAAATACAATTAAATGTATCCTGTTTGCCACCAGGTACTTCTCAGCATAAATGAAGGGTGTCAGATATGGTCCATGGGCTGCATCTGGCTCACAGTGCTGCTTCCTTCTGCAGAATCTGGGGGCATGGCTAGTGGTGAGCAGGGCCTTCTGCCCAGTCCGGGGCTCTGGAACCCTAGTGGACGTGGCGTTCAGTGGCAGGTATATGAGTGAAGGCTGTGCTCACACAGCTGACATGGGAGATTTGGCTTGCCCCCACCTGTGCTGCCTTTGTCACAGCAAGTGGCTACCTGCCTGTGGCCACTTGCCCCACTGCCACCATCGCAGTTGCTGCTGCTGGCAGTGGCTCTGTGAATTTGGCCCACTGAGGAACCCTGCAGTTTGTACGGGGCCCAGGGCAAAGGGTCAATCTCACACCTGTGACATAATTGGCTTAGTTGCTAGAGGGATCTTTTACAATTTCTACTATGAGGGAGAGTGGTGCAGAAGACAGTTGCTTTACCAAAATATGTTCTACAAAGTGAATAGTTTTGATAATTGTGAATAATTCGCATCTATATATATTTAAAATGTCATTTGAATTCCACATATCAGAGCCATGGATAAGATTGCACTTGGACTGAGAATAGCATAGTAGCAAAAGTCCTAACTTGTAAACTGAGAGGCTCAGGTTCAATTCCTTGCCCTACTGACATTCTTTGTGACCTTGAGTAAGTCACTTAGTGTCCCTCAGCAATTTTTCTGGGGCTGGTGTAGCGCAGGTGCTAAGGTGTATCTGTATCGTTGATAGCCCAAAGGTAGCAAGTTCAAGGCCACAACAGAAGCTCTTGTAGTGCAGTCTGTCAGATGCCAGTGAATCTGCAAATTCTGCTAAATTCCATGTCACAAAGACACAAAAAATGTAAAGCAAAACCATTTTTCTAATGCCATTGATACCAGCATTATATTGATATGATGGATGTGAAATGCATAATAATTCCAGAGTTGCCAGTACTGTGCTTCTTATGTAGCAGCAACCAAAGTGATTTTCCTGTAGGCTATATCTTTTGTCAAATGTAATTCTACAACATGAGGGCTTTTACCATGAAACAACTGTTTTTTTGATAGAAACTCAAAGCTTCCGTGACTGAATTTGGTTTTATAGCACTGGGATTGTTAACCAGGGGTATGTGTAACTCTAGGGGTACTTGGTGATAGGGGGTATGTGCGGGTGGGCAGAGATGGAGCAGGGTGAGGGCAGTGGTGCCCTTCTGCAGATGGACGTGGGGCGGGGAGGCTCGCACGTGGTGGCCACCACCACCACCCACCACTCTGTGCCGCCACCTCCCAGGAGCAGGGCTGCTGGGGGGCGAGGGCAGCAGCGCCCCTCTGCAGGCCGCACAGGTGCTGCGAGGCCGACGGCTCTGCAGGCTGCTGATGGGTGGTGCATGATTGGCCAGGCACGAGGCCTGTCAGCAGGCTTTGGAGCTGCATGTGCGACCGGCTTTGGGGAAGTGGGATGCGGCTATGCGGGGCGGTGGGTGGCAGTGGCGGTGTGGGGCGGTGGGTGGCAGCAGATGCCGTTGCATGCAAACCCCCTTCCTCATGTCTGGCTGCTGCCACCAGAAGGCGTACACTTGTTAAAAAAAGCTTGAAAACCCGTGTTTTAGCATTTCTGTTTTTATTTCAACAGTCAGTCAAGATTTCAGTAAGTTTATTTGTATGTAGGCTTGAGTCAGTTCAACTCATTTTTCACTTTTCATTTTTGTTTCTAGTACTAATATTTGAATAGTTTTGTTACTGAAGGCTCAGTTGACTTTTTTTCAAATGGCATTTTACCCCTTTCTACAACACAGAGCATAATATCATTATTTATTTATTTTGTTTTGTCTTGGTTTAAAAAAAATGTTTGTAGATTGTAAATGTCAGGTATAATAAACAAGGCATTGTTTTTCTGCGTCTTATTACACTGGTGAACTCTGGAAGCTCCTATCGGCTTTAAGGATCTGTGGCCCATAGCAGACTTTCATTTAATGGCCTGATGGAGTCTGATTCCCAATCCCAATACTTGTGTGTCCTGCCACACTACACATGCATTTTGGGATCGTGATCCATGGTGCCATCTGTGCTGGCAAGTTCAAAGCTGGAAGCCTAAGCTCCCTCTGCATGGCAAGGTCAAAGCCAATGAGCATATGGGGTTGTAGGCACCTGGCTTGAGCTTGTCAGGGGGTGGGGGGATCCTATGTACGTCCCTCTATTTGCAGCTCAACATGTGCTGCTGTCTTCTCCCAGTGCAGAGGTCAGTTGATGGTCAGCCTGGGGACTGTCAGCGTAGCATAGGGTAGCTTGATGTGCCATACATTCAACTTAAATGTGCAATGAAAACTAGCCACACACGTTATACATTTTGTGTGGAACAGCCACAAATGGCTTGTTTTCTCACTTTTATTATGTCATTAATTGCCTGAACATGTGGCTTGGCTACTATTTATGGCACGGTAAACACATTATCAAACCATAAATGTAATGCTTGTCAAAGCCGTATATTTTAAAAATTTTATAACGGGTGTCAGCTTATACTTGTATCTTGCTACAAATTTAAATACCAAATTGTCTCAGATACAGTATGCCCTGGAGTGTAATACATACCTTGTTTTTGAAAGGCAGAATGAACTAAAGACTTTTCAGGAGTTATGGCAGTATAGAGCAGGAACAGAACTTAATCTTCAAATGACTTCTCCTCCTTTTTCTTAGCTATAGGTAAAAACCTAGCTGCTCCTGAAGACTGTTCTCCATGGATGGATCTGTAATTTTGAAAAGAGCTTAAGAGGCTCCAGGGCTGTGAAAAAGCAGGAGAGAAAGCAGGAGCAGCTAACAGAATTGCTCTACGGAAGTTTAAAGAGATTAGTCGAACATCAAGAGCATTTAAAAGGGGAGACAATTGTTGACCTCTGTGGAGTAACAATCTGAACCACTAAGTCTGTTGGCTGCCTGAATAGTAATGCAACGGCTGCTGTACTGTGGAGTAGGAATCAAAGCTCCTATCCCAGGCAGAAAATCAGTTTCCCTATGTAATACCCACAGCCCAATTTTTGGGAACTGATTTTTTTGGGGAAAAGTGTGTTCTGTATGTGAGAATTATGGTATTTGCCTTGCAAAATCCATGCTTGAGTTAATACTTTTTCACCATTTTTCAGTGCTAGTCTCATAGTTCATTTCAGCTAAGAGTACGCATTCTAGGAAAGATCTTTTTTTTTTCTTTTTAATGGCTAGGTCTTGTTTAGAGAGGAACATAGATTTGGTAGCATGAAAATTACATGAATTCCGAATATAGATACTTAAATTAAAAATTATACCTGGGGACCTCTACAGGTTGTAGTTTAAAAAAATGCTGATAGAAACAGCTTGTGAAAAAAAAAATGCACCATATTAAGAAACCACAGAAGGTTTTCATCTGCTCTAGAACTATGTTTTTTTTTTCCACTTCCTTTCAGAGTTTTGGTGAAGGTGTGCTGCTCTCTGTGAAGTCACTGCTACAAAGCAGAAAAGAACTATGCAGCCTGTCAACAGAGGACTGTTTAAGCCAGAAGGAACACAACAGTTTTATTGAGGTTTGGCTTTGCATGACCGTTTATATTTTTTTCACAGATACGATGAGTGCTTTTTGTTTGCAGGTGCGGAATTGGAAGCTGCAGAATAGTTCATTAGAACAAGATTGCAAACTTGCTTCCTGCAAGTACATTCTTCGTTCTCTGTTGTCATCTCTAAGTAACTGGAGAGTAGCTAAAAAGGTGGAGTATGGTGAAGTTGGCTGAAAGAGGAAACTTTTTCTGCTTTTGGCTTTTTTGAGAAATAACATGTAGTCTAAAAATCTATGAATAAATGATGCATTTGGTAACTAATTAAAATGGATACAAGGTTCTTGTGATGTTGAAACCTTGTATTGGGGATTTATAAATTCTGTTAATTTACTGAAGTTTTCCTACATTTCAAAGTCTAATGCATCTTTATGTACAATTCAGGGGTGTCCAACTCAAATAAGTTGCCGGGCTGTGAGTGGCTAAATCCTGGCAGCATGAATTCCTTTGCTGCTGATGCTGACACAGCAACACTGACAGCTGTGGCAAGCAGGCCTGCAGGTAAGATCTGGGCTTCTTGCAGGCTGGACCTGAACTTTGGGGTTCTTGCCATGTTTGCTGGTCCTGCTGTGTCTGCCAGTGACAGAGGAGTTAACGTTGTCACCATTGCCACAGATGGATCACGTGGGCTTCATGCCCTGATGTACATTAAACATTTCCTACAGTGAATAAATTATTTTCTCTAAAATAATTCTGAACTAAATTGTTTCATTTCGCCGATTAACTAAGATTACTGAATTACATTGCTTTAGGAAATTAAAAAGATAATATCATGGTTGACTCTTTTATAACTTTAATAAAACAATTATGTGGTCTGTGTAGACACTCAAGGTGTGGTCATGCTGTCTGATACTCTCTTGCCACATGGAACTACCCTCAGGCCTTAAACCTAGCTAGCAAGGAGGCTTGCAGGAAGAGACCACTATTTCAGATTACTCAGAATCTCATCAAAGGTGAGGGTCTTCTGGTTTAGTATACTTCTAAATTGCTGTTGTAGGTGGCTTAGTAACACGTGTATGTTGACAAAAATAATAAACTATGTGCATATTTCCTTCTATTGTACTCCTAAAAGTCAGGTAAATGAAAATTCGGAAAAAAACGATTTAGTTTACAATAAGCAATATCATGCTTGAAATTAGCTTGTCCTATGTATATCTCTCCGTAATTTTCTTGCAAAACGTGGGTCTTTTTAGTTGTTTTACATGTGTTTTACATGAAATCAGAACTTGAGTTTTATATCTCAGGTTGATTTGTTTATAATGTACAGGTACAGGCATTTTTCTAAAATAGGTCTATATGTTACCAGCACTGCCTACAGATTCCATGCGTATTACAAATGCATTTTTAAAAGTGGTTTTGCTGTTTTTTTTTCTCTCAGTATTACTTTATAATTTCATTTGTCTTGACGGTTTTTAATCTCTAAATAGGTATCTGACATTTTAAAAATGAATTTCCGGTCACAGAAGCTTTGAATTGATAGGCAAGGAGATCTTATTTTCAGATTAGTTGCTAACTGACCTCTGAAAACAGTCTAATATTAGTAGGATTAGTAGCACCACCTGTTAAACTGCATGACACTTATCATAAGTGTTTTTAGCTGTTTGAAAATTTGCCAAGGTTCAGTCATGTGAGCTGAAACTTTCCATGCGAGACATCTCTTGTAAGATTTCAAAATGAACTAATTTACTTGTTTCTGAATTAATAAAAACTAGGTGGGTTTGCCCAGTTTAAAAAATATCCTTTTCTTGTGAATGTGTATTGATACAGTCTTCAAATACAGTCACATACTATTTTTTTCCACAGGACTCCTGCCTCATTCAGTTTACAGGCTTGTAGTAAACATGGCTCTTTATAGGATGCCTGCCTCATTTGTTGCAGAACTTGGAAGATGTATTGAATGAGGCAGGGGACTGGAGGAAGAGAAAAGATGGTCTCACAGTTAAGACAGTAGCATGCTGCGCTGGACTGTTGGGTTCTTTCTAGAGCTGGTCAGAACATTTTTGATGTTTTCTGTTTTACTGAAACACAATTCTATTTTACAGAAAAGTTTTTAAAAGCTTTGTTTTCAGAATTTTACCAGTTCAAAATTTTATCATGAAACAGAATTGTCATTCTTTGACTAGCTCTCATTGTCAGTGTGCTTTATGATGTTAGGCACATTGTTAGCAGAATCTTCACCTGTGGTCAGTAATTGCGCTTCACATTTTCTTAGTGCTTAACTTGAGACCCCATCTTGAACCAGATTATCTTGGGGTCTGGCTTGCAAAAGGAGTGAGTAACTGTAATTAAAGTTAATGGGACTTTTGCTTTGAGTATACGGAGTGCTGCTATATAATCTACAATACTCAGAAAAGTACATCCTGAGGCTCTCAAATTATAGAATTCCAAATTAGTGAATATTTTTAACTGTAATCTCTGTGTCTCACATACCCATCTAAAAATGAGGATAATGCTGCCTCATCTTTTATTCAAACTCTGCTCTGAAAATCCGGCAAATTAAGCCTATTGTCACATATTGAAAAAACAAAGGATAAAACAAAATATTGAATAGTAACTAAAGTGAGCAACCATCTGCCCTGTGCACTAAATGAGGCAAGGTTCCTATGGAAAAAATTGTATGTGATCACATAACCAATGACTGTGTCATAATTCATATATACAAGAGGGCTGAATTAGGACTTCACAGAGAGACTTGATGTTCCTGTTTTCTAACTTTTGGCCACTTAATTTGCTACCTTCTAATATTAACTGTTCTGTAATTAAATGTACCTCAGAGTACTAATATATTATAGTCTGTGTATAGCAATTACAAAATTTAAAGAAGATTATATATGCTCTTGCAGTGTTGCAGAATTGCTGCCTTCATCACAACTTGGACTCGAATATTAAAACTTCTGTGTTATATCAGGACAGTAAATAAGACTTGCTTTCAATTCTTCTCGTCTTTGAGTCCGACAGCCTCCCAGTTGTTAGATAAGAGCGAGAGGCCAGTGTTGGAATAATCTCTTCACTTTTTTTATTTCTAAGATTAGGAGGTACGTACACTTTCTGTGTATACAAAATGCTTATCGCCATGCAAGTCTATGTGGATCTGAGGTATCTGTACTTCTTTCCTTTAGGGATCTTTGCCCGTGGAGATTATCAGGCAGCCTTTTGGAAACTGAATTATTTTTATTCAATACTTAGAAAGAGCATTACAGAAATTTAGAGAATCTAAATTTATATTTATATCTAGTCTAAGTTCATTTTACATTTCCCTTCAAATCAAATTACAAAGGCTTGCCATGTTAGATATCCATTCTTTATTATTACAGGAACAGAACCAACATAAATTCCAGCAAATGAAGGTACTCTAGGTAGAATGGCTCATGACTACAGCAGAATGAAGCTTTACGCAAAGAGTCTATTGAATTTTAATAGCCTCCTCTGTAATTAGAGAACTAATAGGTGGTTTCTGGATCTTGACTTCTAAACTATTTGTATGTTTGTTCTTCAGATCACATTTATAGGTTTTACTGAAGAGACTGATGGTCATATGCAGGTAATGCATATTTAAGATAACGATTTCATTTCTTCAGTGAGGTCTGAGATGATTAGAAAACGTGTTTTTTGTGTTTTTTTTCCTGGGGAAATCTTGGAGCTTTTCTTGAAGAACATGTCTTGGATTAGATTGTTTAAAATAAACAGTCTGTTTTAAACATTGCTGTTAAGGTTTAAAAACTTTTATTTTACTACAGACTTCTATCCTTTGTATTAAGCTGGATATAGGGTACTGGACATTTTTAAATCTCTATTGCCACGTGAAAAAATGCCACTTTAAGTTGAGTTCTGGCCAAACAGGTTGCTTTTTGGAATATCTGTGAAATATTTTGAAATCTCTTAAGCTATTTTTCATCTAGGTGATAAAACAAAAACTGCTTACAAAACAAATTTTAACAAAGTCCCATTTAACTGTAAAAACGTAGTGATTGAACCATCTCTTCTCTTACCAAGAAGTCCACAGAGCAAAGCAACATAAACTTGCTTGCCCCTTTGGCAGATGGCAGCATCCTCTGAGAAGCTGCAACAGGAGATGGCTCTTAGCCCAGCTTCTGGAATAGGTGTCCATTTAAGCCCTCAAGAAGCCAGAGTAGCAGAGGAATAGGTACCTGCATTGTTTCTCAGTTCTCTGAGATCTGCAAGACTGAGGTTAAATCCTCTGACAGTGTGGCTCTCCATTTCCCACATACTCTGAAATAGTCTATGCAAGTATAGACTTGTGGAGTTTCTACATGTCTAGTAGTGTCAGGCCTTTATGTTCCTATGTATAGAAATAATTATTTTTATAAGTGAACGATGTCTGGTTGAACTATAGAAGTGATATCAAATTTAATTGAACCAGTACAGCTCTGTAAACTGCCTATTGTAAGTTTCAGATGTAAGCTGAAAATGATGTAAGCCAATTTTAAAAACAATGCAAGAACATCTATAGAATTGTAGTGATTTAACTAAATCTCTAGCCTTTAACTAAATTTCTTTAATTAGTGCCGTATCTGTGAAAAGACAGCTACTCCAACTGGTTTGTAATTGCCTCTCTCATTCATCCCCAGGATATTATATGTCATGTGTAGTGCTAACATAAATTTTACCAGTACATTTCATTCAGATTCTATAAATCTGTGAGAACTATAATTATAAAATACTGTAATTTGGGGAGTGATGTGGAACACATCAAGCATGACAAGTAATTACTAAACTATTGATTTCATTAGTACATTAGGGTTAATCTTTAAACCGTTTTGCTCTTTGTTTACAATAAAATACAAAAGAAGCATCAGAGCTGTAAAGCTTATCTTGTATCTTTAAACATCTTTCAGTTTCTGTGTTGATACACAAGCATTCTATTTTTCTTTCAGTATGAGAAAACAGTCTTGTTTGAGCCACACCAAGGAGGCTGCTGTTTAGGTCAGGAACCTTGAAATGACGCATCTTGTCCACAGCTAATAAAGTTCTGTGTGTGCAGGTTTCCCTTGCTTTATGTGGGTTCTGTATGAATGAATTTGCTCTTATGCAGTGACCCTTTTTATACCAAAAATTCATTATCTGTGAAGTAAATTCACTTTTATGTGATTGGTGTGGTGGAAACCCACAGTCAGCTGCTTTGTGCAGTGCATTGTGGGAGTGACGCACACCAAAATATAGTCTCCTGTGTGGATCTGTGCTCCTTGCTCATTGTCTGCAATGTGTTTCTGTAATTGTCATCTCCATTATGGCTTCTAAGTGTCCCACTAGCTTATCTCCTACCCCTCTCCCTGTGCTTGTGTGTACTGTCTGCTGTTGGTGAGTACCAAAATTGTCTTGTAAAACTGGTAGAAATGAGTCGGGGGGCGGGGGGATCAGTACAGTCGAAGTCTTGGAACATATCCCTATTTGTTACATTGTAAAGTGGGTACCCTTTATGCAAATTCGAGTTATGCGCTGTTTTCTAGGAACTCATGTACAGCATAAAGCAAGGGAAACCTGTACTGTGGAAGATGTTAGTCATTAAGTAGAGAGGCTTTCATAGTAATAACTTACTTGTATTAAAACAAGATTAACACTGAGTCTCTGCTCTGACTTGCAGTCAAAGTGCATAGCATGCTTCTGTGGGATGTCAAAGTAATAATCCTATAAATGTTCTTTTAAATGTGGATCTGATCTCCGTTTTAAACATGAATCCAAACTGTTTGGGTTCTCTACATGAGGATGCATGGAATATAGAAAAAATGGAACCCACTTTATTGTTTTGGATGTATAATGAATGAATAAAAACACTGTTCATTAAAATTATGCCATAAAATCATAGTATAATATTAACCTCATTTTCTGTAGGCATACTTATTCTAGCTAAGACTAATTTTTTATTGTCCAAGATCATAATTAATCATTAGCATTGGATTTTTTTTTTTAAATTTTGCCTGGGCACTGACCTGATAGAGCATGTGGGGATTACCAAACAGAAGAATCTTTAACATTAGCTGAAATGTTCCTATGTGTTTGCGTACCTCCCAGGATTTGCAGTTGCTTTTCACTGCTCTCATGTTTCTCCTGTGTGCTTTTTAAAGCTCCTCTGAACGATGGGAGACACTGATGTTTATTTCTTCTGTTAGAGGTATCTTGAGATTTGAGTTTAGAACATTATTATAAACTAGCTTTAAGGCAGGATTCTAATGTACTGTGAGAACATGGAAAAAGGGAAGGAAGAAAGTGGTGGCTGCTAATATTTCTTTAACCTTCAGTACTTAAGTATCATCATTAGCATATTAGTTTTTCACTCTGTACTTGGTGTGTTGTTTTGTATTTGAATTAGGAGTTGGCTGCTGTTTCTGCAGAACTCCCAGATGTTCTAAAATTGCTACAGTTGCGCACTCTAAATGAAAATGAAGTCATTTTTCTGAAGGATACAAATAAACCCTTGGAAAGACCTGATGTCCCACATTATCAGGTAAAAAATCTCAGTCTTTTATATATGTCACTAGAAGTATTAGTATATGTTTGGGTTTTTTTTGAAGTTTTCTTGTGTTTTAAAATGCATTACCAAATAGTGCTCACAATAAACTTTTTGGGTACTACTTTCTGTGATTTTTGAAGTTTATGAAGTGGTGTGTGCAATGCTAGGCAGTATTATTATTATCGTTATTATTAATAATAACAACAACAACAATAATAATTGTATACATGCTTTGTTGCCTAAAGAGGTTCTTGTGACAAGTCACAATTGTAGGGCATGTAAGGTACTTTATCATAGGTACTTTCCTCTTGTCTTTTTTTATTAAGATATTCATTTTGCTGCTGATGTTGTCAGCACTGCACCCAGGAGGAGTATGTTTCAAACATGTCAGTAAAGTGGAAATCTAAAACATACTAGGGGCAATGCTTGTAATGCCCTTTTCTCTTCCCCTTCTCTTTGCCTCAAAAACCTATGGGCATTGGAGGATTAGTTTTATTTCAACCAGAACTGGCAGGGCTGAATGCACTCAATTGAATGGATCAGCAGGCTAGCCACACAGCCTGTGGGTAGTGTAATCAGCCTGGCTGCATGTTAAGCTGTCCTCTGAAAAATTCCAGTTGGCCCCCTGCCTTTATTCCCCTCATGACATTGTTTTTGTGCTGCCAATTGGAAGGAAGATGAAACCGGATGAATTAGTTTCCTCATCTCCTCTCAGGTACGTTGCCAATTCCTCTGTCAAGTAGCAAGAGGAAAAAAGATTTGGGAAATGTCAGGGGTTGATACTAGATACTTCCTACATCCTCTCCAAGCATTAGGGTTACTAGAATTTGAAACTGGTTTTACTAATGATATATGATAAAGTTATTCTATCACTAGCAGGCATTAAACAACTAGCAGGCAATAAACTGTAGTGTTTCAGTATAACAGTTTATTTGTTTTAAAGAATTTTTGCATTCAGAAGAGAGATGTGGTCTCTGGGCTGGTGGTAGTCTTTCACCTTAGCTTTACTGAGTTTGGGTAAATTACTTACATGCTGTACCTCTGGTTCCTCGTATAAAATGGAATGTTGTTTGTGATACGCTTTTTTTTTTTTAAGATCACTTTTGCTTATGACACTTTAAATTGGGAGTGGCCAACCTGCAGCATGCATGCCACAAGTGGCACAGGCAGCCTCTGTGTGACATGCAGCAGGTCAGGGAGGGCAGGTAGTACAGCTGCAGATTGGGCAGGGGAAGCGGATCTGAGTGACACTTGGGGAGGGTGTTGGGTCTGCTTTGTGGCACGCCTTCCAAAAAGGTTAGCTCCCATTGCTTTAAATGAGTCTAAGTTCACGTTATAAGTAAAAAGTATGTTGTTAAGAACTGTATAATTTTGTTCTCTTGTTCTTCTTCTCTTTTTCAAGAGTCATCTTTCTGGAGTGCTTTGTGTGATGAGATTGTCTCCTTCATTTCCAAGGACTACGGTTGATTCTGTATTTACCTTGCTGAGCAAATACTCTACTGGTGTAAGGTATGCAATGGAAGTGAACTCGGTACAGAAACAACATCCAGAGACATCCCATACAGAGGATGACGACACAAATCAATCAGTATCTTCAATTGAGGATGATTTTGTCACTGCTTTTGAGCATCTAGATGAAGAAGAGCCTTCAAAGACCCAGAATGCTGGTTAGTTACTATATTATATGTTGAGAGAGACCGCAACAAATGCGAGCTGCAGTCTGGGCCAAAGAGTGCTTTCAATTATGTGGTAAACTTTTGAGACCTTTATTCAGTAATTTTTTAAACTAATTTTCTGTTCTTAAAGGGATTATCACAGAAGCAGACAATGATATCTTAAATTAAAGTTTCTGGCTTCAGTGGTAGAGCCAGAAAAAGTAAAATCTGCCCTATAACAGAGCTCACAGTCTCAGACATTTGCAATGGTAGGGGAGCTGTAATTATTGCCCAGATATTGTTATCAAAATTAGTTGCTCCTACATAATGGTTTTAAAAGCATTTTCTCTTCCATTTTAGGTATTAGCCATGTTACTCCTCGAAGCCACCGTGATGCTGCCTCACAGACGATCCCTTCTCATTGTTTAGAAGCCATCGATTCCAAGATTATTTTTAGTTCTTTTCATCAAAAGTCATCTGCCAAGTCTTCTGCTTCTCTGATAAATATCTTGGGGCTTAAAGAACTATCCTCCTCTCTAAAGAGTTCAGTCACAACCTCCATTTCTGATCCTTGGGTACAGAGGAGTTTCTACAAGCCGTGCAGTTCTTCTGATCAAAGTGTTAATTTTTTGCATAAAACATTGTTTTCCTCCTCTCCTGTTGAATCATCTGAGTCAAATTGCTCTAGCCCAAGTCCAGTCATTTTCTTAGATGAAGAAGGGTATCAAAAAAGCTTGAAAGCAAAACTTCAGCTACCAAAAATTCCACTAGTGAAAGATGGTATAGAGGATTCAGACTCAGAAGTAAGTGAATTTTTTGATAGTTTTGATCAGTTTGATGAACAGGAGCAAAGTTTGGAAAGTACTTGTAAACTTATTAGGGATCCCATCCTTGGTAATCCACCCCAGAAGAGAAAGGTCACCCATGAACAACTGCATTCAATAACCACCACTATGAATCCTCAAAGATTCAAGTTTGATCGGCCCATTCTTCCAGCCAATGTAAGGAAACCAACTCCTCGTAAACTGGAATCACCGTATAGCAACCTCTTTGATGTTCCAGATTCCCCACGTCCAGTAAAAGCATCAGGAGAAGACAGTGGGGGTTTGTTCAGTCCTATCAGATCCTCAGCCTTTAGTCCTCTAGGAAGCTGCGCTTCCACTGAATGTCTTTGTCGGATGGATCTCAGTGGAGACGGGAATAATCAGAATTATGATACACTTTACAGTACATATTCAGATTATGCAAACAATGTTTCATTTGAAATACTAGGTTCTCTTTTTCATCCTCAGTCTTCACCAGGACAAATACATGCAGAAAACAATTCTAACCTTAGTAGGATTGCCTTAGGAGAGGAAAAAGGTCAACCTTTAGAGTTCAAAGGGAAAACGTCAGTTACGGAGCAAGATAAGAAAGCTAAATCTAAATGCAAATCACTAATGATTAAAGACAGCATTCAAAAATTTGCAACAGAATTGGTTGAGAAAAGTTTTGGCAGTGCATTTAAAGACCTACAGAAAGGAGTTTCTTCATGCACCAATGCACTGTGTCACTTGGCTGCTAGATTGACTTCTTCAGTCTTTCAGATGGCTTTTTACGAGATTGGCAGACAGCGAGCCTTTTCACTGAAGGAACGTGCCATTAATGGACTAGCAAGCCTTTTGGTTAGTGAAGCTATAACAAGTGCTTTGAAAGAACTGCGATATGTAAAGAAACAAATATTTACAAACACAGTTGCAGGATTTGCAGCAGACCTGGCTGAAGAACTTGTTTTTGAAGGAATAATGGAAGTCTGTCAGTTTTCATATCCATCATCGCCCTCAGCTGCCCATTATTCGTCCTTTGAATTTGAAGACAAAGTGGTGAGATCATATGCCAAAGATTTGTCTGAATCTGTCATTCAGGAAGCTTTTATTGAATTATCCCAGGTTGATGTGACCTTCACAACACAAGCAGCAATTAGTGTTTCCATGGACAACATAAAGTATGTAAGTGCAGAAAGTATGTTGCAGTCAACACAAACATCCACTGCTTTTTCTAACTGTCATGAAAGAAGTCTTGCAACTTTGCATCCAGTACAAGAATCTGGAAAAGCATATACCATACAACAAGCTTTGTTTTGCACCTCTGGTGTTGTTAGTTCAATACCAGTACCGTTAGCTGGAAGAGCACTTTGTCAACATCAGGTTTCTTCTGATGTTTATAATGTAAAAGTGTGCACTGGTCCAGTCTTACGTGGAAATCTGAAAATGTGCAAAGAGTCAACACAGCCATATTTTACAACTAAAAATAGAGAAGAGGAAGTGGCTTCTCTTAGAAATATTTACCTGACTCCAGATCACAGTCAAAGTACTGGAAGTTGCGCACAGTTTTTGTGTAACCGGAGTGATAACAAACAAACAAACAGTAATTCTGGAGTGAATAACATTTCAGAATTAACTAAGGGGCCAAAAAGCATCAACAGTTTCTCTGGAACAATGGTAGACATGATAGTAAATGAAGCTTACGAAGCATTAACCTCATCTAGAGTTACCAAAGCCATGGAGGGTTATACTGGTTTTTTAACCAGAAAAATAGTAGAGAGAGAACCTCATCTACAGTGTATTGGTGATGACGTACCTAAGATTATGTTTGCTGATCATTTAGCCAAACATATTGTGAAACAGTCTGATAAAACTATATCTGCATTATCCAAAACAAATGAGACTGAAGTATATAATGGAGGCTCACAGACAAATACAGATAATAGCAGAAAAGAAGTGTATAGTACAATAAAGAAACAGGAGTCTGAAAAACAAAATATTGTTCCTATGATTATGGAACAACAACAGATGCCCTTGAATAATCCATCTAAAATTCTTGTTACTCCAGTTCATTCTACTCAGTGTTGTCTTTCTCCACCAAAACATCATGCTCAGGAACAAAAAGGATATGGAGTACCTAGGTTTTGTTCAGGCGTCCTGCCACCTTGTCTACCTGTGACCGTTACTAGGCACGTTGTTGAAGACTTCACTAATTCCAGAAGCTGTTCAGTAAAGTCCTTAAATAAACCATTGAAAAAATATGATACGCAAAACGCACCGTCTGTTCCTATGGCTTTTGGGCAGGAAAGTTCTTTAGTACACACAATGACGTTTGGCAGTGAAGATGCTTTGCAGGTGGATGATAAATCAAGTGTTAGAGATGGAAATATCTGTGCAGTTCCTGATACACCACCACCAACTCCTTTAGTACCTTTACAAACAGGTTCTGAATGGAGCTTACGGAAGCTAACCAAGAAACTTAAGGGAGAATTAGCAAAGCAGTTTGCACCTGCAACACCACCCTCCACACCTTATAACCCAGCTGCTGCTGGGTTATCTGAAACTGAACATGACTCCTTGGGAAAGGAAGAATTTATGTTAAAACTTATGCGATCACTTTCTGAAGAAGTTGAAAGCAGTGACGATGAAGAACATTCTCAAATGCTGGAGGAGAAAGCTGAACATTCAGAGAGAACAGTAGAGTATGCGGATCATTTAGCCAGCCATATCATTTCAATGGCAACTGAAATGGCTGCTTTCCACTTAGATGCCAAAACAGCTCAAAGAGAAGCTGATAAACGCCTCCAGTTAAATGTGCAAAACAAAAGATGTGCATATACTGCGTTTATAAACATCCCAGAAGAAACTTTAAATTCACTGTGGAACTATGCAGGTGATATGGCTGGAAAAGTTATCAGTGAGGCCAAGAAAATGGTAAAATCAAGGCATTGCAAGCTACTGAGGTTAAAGCGGGTCAGTTGTCATGTGGACTGTCTTCATCTTAGACGAAAGGATAAAGATTGTAGTTCGAAAGAGAGGTGGGGTCCAGTGGTGGACCAGTGGTCCAGAGAGGTAGATTCATCCATGCTTTCTTTACCTCAGAGTTCAAGCTCAACAGGTCTGACTTCCAAGTATCCAAGCTGTGAGAGTGTGACTGATGAATATGCAGATCACATCATTAAAGTTCTGAAAAGGGAAGGTGGTAACAGCGAGTTATTAATGGATCAGTATGCCAGTAGACTTGTTTACAGATCTATAAAATCCGGCTTACAGCAAACTGCCAGAAAAATCAAACTGAAGTACAATAGAAGAATATTTCCTGGACGAAACACAGAGGTAAATGGTAAGCACGAACTGTTCAAGATATCGAATAATGATACACAAAAGCAAATGAGAAGTAGCATTCATCAGTGTGAAGACCAAACTTGTGAAAGGAATAACAATACACACAGAACTGAATGCACAGACTTGCTCCATTTTTCAGAGTCCCTTGCTCACAGTGTAACTTGTGATGTCAGAAGAAAACTGAAAATGTCAGCAGTATGTTTACCAAAATCTTTAACAGATTCTTGTCTGTATACGAAATCTAAGCATGATGACGTCACAGGGGATCTCTTTAAAACAACATTTCTTCCTTTCTCTGAAGAACACAAGCTGTATCATAGTACAGGCAGCCTAAATGAAAATGGTTACAGTGAAGGCATAATTCAAGCGATAGAACAGTATGCCAGAAAAATGGTGGATGACACTTTAGAAATGAGTTTGGAGTCTGCTGTTCTCCAGGCTGCTGAAAACAAGAACAATGGGGATAGATTCACTTACACAGAAAAGTTGTCCCCTTTTTCTGGAACAGCCTGCAGATATTGCAGTATGAAAGAACATCAGTATTGTACTGAAAGTTCATCTCAATGCCTGCCTGCACAAGACCCCCACACTAGTATCAGGCAAATACCGAATTCAGGGTTGGGTGGTGTCTGTCAAAAATCCAGAGTTTTACACCTTGATATTCCCAAAATTCATATTGACACGGAACAGAAGACATTATTTTCCGAGAAGGTAGTCACTGCAGCTATTGAGAAAGCAGAGAGAGAACTGAGCAACACAAGCTTGGCAGCTGATAGTGGTATTGGTCAAGATGGAATCAGTTTTGCTGAGAGTCTTACTACAGAAATAATGACGTCAGCTATGACTAATATTGGTCATGCTGTTAATATGAGGTAATATTAAATTGTCTGTCTTCCTTATTTTTTCTTTTTGTTTTAGCAAGTGGCAAATTGTTAATATGAAAACTTCTGTGATCAAAAGCAATTTTTAATTGCATTTTGTAAATGCAAATTTAAATTACAAAGTACATTCCCCCACCTTGGCTTTGTGTGGGTCCGCTTGACAACAGATGATGTATTTTTATTTCCTTGGCTCTTAAATAGTATGCTGATGTGTAAGATTAAAATATTTAGTTATGTTAATATTTACTGTGGTAGTGTTTGAAGGCCTTGTGAATAGTTGAAAGCCACAGTCAGGTTGGTCCAGATTTTTCAAGATACTGTACCAAATAGCTAATAGATGACAATATCTGTTCAAAAGCACTCAAAGCCTAAAAGATAGGTCTTTCATTTTCTCACACAACAGTTGCAGGCAAAATGCAGAGAACTCCATCTTGTTGGCCTCAAACATATAAAACTGAACACTATTACATTTTTATGTTGTGGCCCTGTATGCGTGTTATTTGAAATCCTTATTCGGAACACATGTAACTTTTTAAATGCAAGTGTGTGATTCACAAAGGCTAACACTGAATTGTTATGTAGATGTCACTTTTCAAGAAGTTTTAATGAAAGTTTCAAGCTAAATTATGGTACTAAGAGCCAATGAAATGTTGGGCAGGGGAAGGAGGGACAGCTGTGCATTATTCCAGCATGACGGAGGTATTGTGATTCTAAGAAGACAGAAAATACGGAAGTTTCCTGGAAAACATGTTTAGCAGTTTACACTTGCTGTGTAGTATGTTTGTGACCTGTTTCTTTGCAAGGCTGTGGAGGGGACAGGAAAACGCATTCTCTAACCCAGGGATGTCAGACATCTTTGCTCCTCCCTGCTGTATAGGCTGGATCCAGACCAAGTGGTTCCTCATAGGCTGGATTCAGACCCACTTCTGGCAGGTTGAATTGCGGTAGTGGAAATTGCCACAGGAGCCTCTAGTTTAGGGAGCCACAGATTAATGCTGCTTCTACTCGCCCTGCCCCTGAATTCCCAGTGCCTTTAGGAGTTACGTGAGCTGAATATTTGATGCCCCTGCTCTAACCAACAGAACGCCTGTATATGGACTGCCAGAGTTTGCCTTTTAAGGTTACGTTTCATTTGTTCCTACCCTGTACATTTTCAAATTCAGCCTTTTAAACAATGATTACTGCTTTTTAAAAAGTTACTAAATTGAATCTTATAAAGCATTTATAGCTAATTTTATTACCATATTTACTTATATAACGCACCTTTCTCCCAAAAATTAGCCTGCCAAAATCGGGGTGCATGACTTAAGCAGGGTAGCGACTTACCTTTTTCTGCCCAGAATAGAAGAATGTCATCCTATTTCACAGTTCCGCAGACTGTTTTTAGCTCTTTTGAAAATCCTAAGTTTGTCAATGGAGTTCTGTCTTCAACAGCAGCTACAGTTTAAGCTTTGGGCTGAGCACCCAAGATCTGCTGACCATTCAGCTGTCAAAGAGCTTTTGCCTGAGTAGGAAAGAGAGTGAGTGAGCTGAAGATTAGGCTTTGTTGTTATTCTTGGTGACCAGCTCCAAAAAAAGCCTCTTCATTGTGTCTTCCTAAAAATAAGGTGCACATCTTATTTGGGGATGTGTGGTATGTGGGGAAATACAGTATAAAAATTAAATGAGCTCATTTTGTTTGATGTTTTCATGCAAATTCAGGTTTCTGATTACTTATACAAAAGAGAAGAGTCTATAAAATAAACTTAGTTGTCTCACCACCTTGAAACAGGAAAAATAAACCTATATCTACTTTTTTATTTTTAAAAAATGTTTGTTGTCTAATTGTATGTGCATGAGTGCTAAACATGCTTGTTTGTGTCAGCATTTTGTCTAGACTAACCATATGACTGGTTGAGCAAGATTGACCATAGCAAGTGAGAAAAATTAGCCAAAATGTTAGAGCTATGTGAAGCTTCGGTCGCTGATTCCATTTGGCAGAGATTTGGCCTGATTTGGCGGCCGAATCTCTGAATCCAAATTGAATCAGGAGACCCTTTAATCTCTCGAATCAATTAGGAGAGATTCGACGATTCGGACATAGACACAGCTTTAAATGTTTTTTCTACATACCTTGTGGCAGCAGGCTGCTCATGAATGCTGAGATGGTGGGGTGGATGGAGTGTCCCACAGGAGCATGGTGGGGGGTCCCCCGCACGCTCGGCAGCAGACCCGAAAGTGGACCAAAAGTACTTCCACATTGGGTAGACACGGGGGGTCCCCTGCGTGCCTGGTGGTGGACTGGAAGTACTTCTGCCCCCTGCGCTCCTGTGGGACACTTTATTCGCCCCACCATCTCAGTGTTCACGAGCCATGCCTGATACCTCAAGGTACGTAGAAAAAACATTTAAAGCTGTATCTGTGGCCGAATCACTGATTCTCCAAATCAGAATTGAATCACTGTCCCCCGATTCAGGCTGAATCAGAATTGACTATGGCCTGCTTTGCACACCCCTACAAAATGTTGCATTGTGCATAAGTCAAAAGATGCTAGAACCCCTCCTGTGTAGCTGTATACATTTTAATTAATATAAAGTCTATAGAACTTAAATACCAAGCACCAGTGTGCTATGAATTGGGCTTCCCAGTGATGCTTTGTGCTTGCACAGTAACTACCTTCCCTGGTGGAAGAAGATCCTGAATGGTGCCCCCAGGCTTGATTCATTTTGCAGAAGTCAGATTTGTATATGTACGTATTAGAAAAACCATCTCAAAATGATTGATTACCTAGTTTTGGAGTAGTTGAGTGATTTTACTCATGTCCCCTGCTTTGCATGAGACTTTATCTCTGAAGTGTCATTAAACTGGCTACCTGAACTTTTTTGGAGCAGCATGAAATGCAACACTATAGAGGTGTTCTGTATTTTTAATTTTGTTTAGTTCTGTGGGAAGAGAAGGAGTCCACTCTGCTGAATCTATTGTTAGCCAACAGATGAGTCTGAGTATTGGCGATGATAGCACTGGCAGCTGGTCCAATTTAAGTTTTGAAGATGAGCATGCTGATGAGAGCAGCAGTTTTCTTCATCTCAGTGACAGGTAACTATGAAAACACGCTAATATAGATACAGAATAATCTCATGCTGTATTGATGTGGTTTAGCTTTCTCTTTCGGAGAAGAGCTTTATTTCCCATTTAACAGGAAAGTGTTTTCAGTGAAATTGGCTCTAGAATTATGTTTAAATTAACATTACCCTTCAGAAGGGGATTTTTATCATGCATGTTTACATTCACACACAAATATGTGCATTAAAAATTAGGGTATGGGTTTTAACAATTTCCTGGCATGAGTTAGCTTTCATAGTATGTTAGCATAGCACATTGTCATGCATAAAAATCTGTATATTTTGATGTGCATATTTAATGACAAATTTTAATATATTAATGAACTCACTTTAATAGCAGTGCGAAAATGCAAATTATAGGTTTGGCAGAATTTGATTTATGTTTTTAATAACTGTGATTGATAATATTAATATTCATTGATTTTTTTTTTTTAAGTGGTTGTTTATTTTTTATATATTTTAATTTTCAGGAGTGCATTAAATTAGTGGTGCACTCTAATTTAGCAGATGATTTATTAATGACTGTATACTATTATTCTAGTGCAGTTTAACTGCCTACTGTGATGCACATAACTACTGTAGGACTGCTGCCAGCTGAACGGCAGAGCTGCTATCAGTCCTGGCTTTGTTCACCCTTGCCCATTTTGTCACTTTCTCTCTCTTTGTTCCCAGTCCCCTGGGGTTTCTGAGAGTTGGAATCCAAACTACAGTCAGTATGGTTCTGTAGGACTGCTCCCTGTCATCCAACACTATCAGCCATCATTTTTCTTATGTCCCCTTTTTGTAAATTTTGTTTATTAACTATGGAAGTATTTTTTCATTTGTCTGTAAAGGTGAAGTGAAATCAATGTTTATCAACATTTACCAATTAAAAATTGGAGACTTTATTTGCAAGAACAAGAACATTGTAACTTTTTTAAAATTTTCATGGTTTAAGTTATTTTATTCAGATTTTCTATTTTAACTTTTCTGTTTTTACAAAAAACTTTTAACAGAAAAAATTGAACCATATCAGACTTAAGGAGCTGGATTTGCAGGTTGACATTTGTAAGCCCTTTCAGCTGAAGTTGAATTTGGAGAGCATACGAGCTCTGTAAGGCTCTTCTTTATAGTGATATATCAGGGTCTTCAGGAAATGGGTTCCCTTAGGCAGAGTGCACTTACTGCTCTGGAAAATTTAGATTTTGGTATAGAATCCATTTCTCTCCTGTTGAGAGGTTTTCTGCACTATAAACTTTCTTCATAAAACTTGTATGCTTGTTAGCAGCTGAACATCAATAAAGTATAAATTAGCACCCAACATTAGTAAAATAATATGTACTATAAATGTAGGGTTTTTGTAAATAACAGGCGGCCACCATCCTTACCAAGAACGGTCAACATAAACATTTTAAAGCGTATTTTATATTGAGTTTTCAGAGCAAAAACATGTCTAACTACTTAAAATGGAAGAAAGTGTGCTTTTTGTAGCTTTCCAGCTCATGACCAAAGACACAGATTTTTGTCATATTTTCCTTTAAAACAGAATCTGTTAGCATATTGAGACTTTTTTCGGGGGAAAATATTTTGGATTGTTGTGAACATTTGAAAAGCAGGTTATAATTAAAGTTACTGTTTAAAGTTAGCTGTAATTTTCACTGACAGATCTCGGATGCTGATTTACAGTACACACATTGTATTAGTTTCTAGTATGAATATAACTGCTTTCATAACTTGTTTTAAAGACTTGTCTAAAAATTATAGCACATTAGAACACCAAACTGATAATTACCAAATCCTTCCCAGAAAAATATAAGTAACTATGTTTTCTTAGAAATGTGGTTTCCCACTTTTTGGTATTCTGAAAAGGTTCCTAAGATCATATAACATTGAAAGCGGCCTTCTGGGTACATTGTTGGCTGTGATCCTTACCATACTGTAGGGTAGTAAAAGTCAAAGAAAATAGAAAACATTACATGATAATATTGTTTTCCTGTTAGTGAGCATTGTGTTGGTGTTAGCTACTCTAATAACTTTTGCAAACAATAGTTTGCAGATGGTTCTTCAAGCAAAAAGATTGAGTTGTCTATCATATAATGACTTCAGTATCATGCTGCTTGTGCCTATATATGCTGGAATATAGGGAAAAGAGGAAATATATTTTTTCCTTACAACTCCAAAATAATGGAAGAATAGAATTGGATTTATTTTTGGTAATGTGTTCGCTTGTTATAGCGCAAATTACACACATCAATCAAGAAATTGTGGGGTCTGTGTTTATATGTGAAGTTTGTTAATAAATAGTATTTGCTACTGATGTGTAATTATTCAAATCATGTAATAAAAATGTTGTCATATTTACATCTGAAAATATATTAAATAAAACATTTTGCAGTTATGCAGCTGGATCAATAATAAAGTATTAAGGGTAGAAATCTTACAAAATTGATTATAATAATGCAACACTGGATGGAGTGCAAAGCAGATCTTCAGTGGAAGTGTATGAAGTAAATGCACAGAAATATTCAAGAAGTTGGGAATAAAAAGTGAAAGTATATTTTAAGGAAATTAGTAGCCTGCAATGCACAGTTGCAATGGCTGATTATTTATAATTGTTTTCTGTAGTCAGTGTTCAGTTAGCATGGAAACGGAGGGGCAATATTTTTTATTGAACTATTGATGATTGTTTTTTTTCTAAACATTTCTCATAGTATAGAAATAAGCTTAACTTCATTAGTTTAAATGAGCAGAGACACTTAGTCATTGCAGTTACAATGTGAATTTTTAATGTACTTTTCAAATAGGCATGCTTATATCTTAATGCATTTTTAAAACAGTATTAAGAGCCTGTATAACACATCATTCAAGAGCTGGTAATGTAGAATTACTTATTTTTTCTCATTTTTTACCATGTACTTTAACTGCCACTTCATCTCCCTTTTTTCTTTTAATACTCCTTAGCACTGGATAAGAAGTGAAAAAAAAATCTGAAAAGTAGAGAAATGTCATTTGACCTCATGATGACAAAATGTATACAACACCCATGTTTTTATAGTTTATCATATTGTTCTGACCTAGGGAATTAAATTATTTAGCATGAAGCTTAACATGAAGCTGAATGCTTCATATTTATATTATTGTTTTGCTCCTGATTTCTTTGTATTAAAACAGAAAAGATGACTTTCAACAGTAGAGGGTGCTTTCATCATGCATAATAGGTTTTGTAGTAATAGTGCTGGGTTTTACTAACCAGATTTTGTTACAATTCTACTTCTGTCTTGCTTCTAAGCTCGTGTAGAGAGACACCCTGTAATCAGTCAACTAAAGCATGTCCTATCATCTCTAAATGTCTCAAGTATAAGCAACTTTTCCTTGATATGAATATGTTTCCTTATATGTATTCATCCTTTCTTTCTCCGCTTAGAGCAGTCAGGTGAGTTGGCTAGGGCTATTATTATTTTTATACAATCTATTATAAACACCCTTTGTTGAAAGCAGCATCCTGTAGTCCTCTCTTTCAGTCTCCCGAGTTCTTGACTCTTACTAATAACATAGAAATTTGGCTAGCATGATCTATTTTACCTGCTCAGCAATTTAAGCCTTTGTCTGTTTTGCTGTCGAAATCACTTATTAAGACACTTTTTTACTGGTCATATAAAGGCCACGTCAGTTAAGGGTATTCAGGTCTACTGCTAATTAGTTCAGTTTTCTTTATAGGTACTTCTTAAATCAGTATGTTTACACATCATTAAGGAAACTGGGAATCTTGTTGATACCATCATTAGCCTTATGGGTATTTAAGAACAAATTTCCATCTGCAGTTATGATATAGTGGTGTTTAGTAGCTTTAGTTCTCTTCAGAATCTAAAAGGACACTAAATTCATAGATTTTATAATTTATTTCCATAAGAAATGATAGACCTGAGCATGATAAACAATTTCAGAAAGTCTCTGTTTATGGTTCTAATTGGCCAGCTACCCACTACTATGCTTACAGTTGTTTTTCTTCTGAGGTTTCTAAATGGTCCACTACTGCGAAAAGTTTTTATCCACTCAGCAGACTGGTTTACAGGTTTGATTTAGTGACTACTGATTGGATTTCAGTTACACATGCACCTAGTTATGAATTGAAAGTGGAGGTAGAAGATCAAATTTCCCCTTGGTTGGGGAAGAAAAAAGGTGTTTGTAGAATTGGGCAAATGTTGATGCATAGATCACATTTAGTTCAGATTTTGAAGATTATCATAGCACTAGCTGTTATAGTTATGAAGACTTTTTTACTAGCTTAGATTCTGGAATATAAAGTAAATTCCCCAGGAAAAAAAGCGTGTGCAGTTCAACCAGCTGCAGTCTAACCCTGCGTGACTTGCTTCCCTGTTCTTTTTTTTGTTCCTTGAGAAGAGACTATGTTTCACGGTAAAATGAACTTTTACTGATAACATTTGTACTTGAATTAATCAACTTTTAGAAGTGGTTTGTTTTGGATAAAGAAGAGATATTATGTATTAAGCTAATCTGAAAGTGCAGGAGGGAAGATTCTGCTTATTTTTGGTATTAGTGAACCACATCTTAAGAGTACAGGATACTTGAGAGAATAGTTATAGATACTTCATACCTAATTTATTGTGTTGAAGGTGACCTCAAGGATGATAATTTTAATGCAGTTACTATTTTATGACCTTATGTAAATTCGCTTGGTAATTCAGGGTCTAACTGACACACATACACGTTACACAAGACAGCAGTTTGTTATTGATAGGGCAGCAACATTTATTTTCTACTCCTTCCATCTCCATTGGATTTCAGAGCACTTTGAAGCAGTGGCGGTGCATAGGGGGTGCATGTGCACGCCCCCAGGCATGGCAGTGTACCCCCTACAAAAAACGGTCGCTGTTTCCCACCCCTTGCACTGACATGGCTGGTGCCATCTGTGGGTGGTCACCGACCTCTGGTCGGCACTTGCTGCCATGCCCCCCCCCCGAAGTTCCTGCAGGAGCTCCCCTGCTTATTGTTGCCGTGCTCCCAGTGCCGCTGTGCTCCCCCAGCTGCCGGGGGTACGTGTTTTTCATGCTTTGAAGAGACTTAGTGTCTTCTTCAATTCACAGCCTGTTCTGTGGAGGACTTCAGTCTTCAGTGATCCTGATCCAGGTTGTCAACAGACAAAAATTAACTTTATAAAAAAAACCCCTAGATTTATCATCACTATGCAGTTTTGCCATGTGATGAATTCAAACCTTAATGATGGTTAGCTTCTCCCATAAAATATAAGCACAATCACATTAGAAGTATGGTTTTGTTCCGAACACGATACTTTTGTCTTTCCCTTTTACAATCTGAGAATCAGGGCACTTCTTTCTTCTGCCCTTTAGGTGTGATTGTGTCAAAAATATGTCAAAATGAAAGATTCTATATGCAAATGCACAACGATGGTACTAATAAACTGTAATTAATGGATGTGCTTTCAGATATATTTGTAATTCTGAATTAAGATCAAGTAAACATTAAAATTTTCATATATTATATAGTGCAGCTTTGCTTGAGAAATTTTTCACAACTGCCTGCATATTTAGCTGTGTAGCATAGTAGTTAACTGTTGTTTGCATGTCCAAAATGTTTGGAAAACTGCTTTTAATTTTTTTTAAAGCTGTGGCAATTTTGTTGATTTGCTGTAATTTTAGATTTTAATTGCTTTCTCTGGAGCCTTTTTACAAATTGCTGTTTTTTGTTTATATCTTCATTTGAGTGAGGAAGAGACATACTAAAATGCACACATTCTGTGTTATACTGAAATGAACTGGCAAAATTGGAGCTCTGCAACTTCATTTTGTTTTTATGTGTGCAGGCTCCAGGTATTTGTGTGTTAAGTGTTCATTTTCTTGTTACAGAGCTGTGTTACTTTACCTGCTTTAAATCTTGACCTGTATATGAATGTGGAATAAATGCAGCTCATATGTGGAACAGAATCCCAGTTACCAGGAAATTAAAATTTTGCTACAGAATAAATCGTTACATATTTAGAAAAGTTACAAGAAACTATTTTTAAAAAGTCACTTGTAAGGAATAATGGATCTGATGTTCTAAAATTATTTTATACATATCAGTCTTTCTCAGTTCCAAACATTTCTTGCTAATCCAACTCTAGTAGTTGACTGCTGGGTTTTTGGAATTAGATTTACTGAAAGATTTTTCACTTTGAAAACTACGAAGTTCATAATTGTATAAAGTCTTGACTAATATTAATATGAATAACAAATTGGGACCCATACTCCTGTGAATAGTCCTGCTGAAACCAATGATACTGTTGACACAAAAAGGAGATATGGATCCAAGAACAGAATTACTGTAAGCAGTGATTTAGAAAATTAATACAAGTACAATTAATTTTTTTACCTGTTTACAGTACATATCAAAATCTGGCATTATTGTGCTATTTACTATTCTGCCCAGTACAGACTGTCACTTTTTTTGTACTCTGGTCCAGGCAAGCCTTTTTAGGAAGTTGCACTGGTTTTGCATCAGATGTTTTGACAAATCAACTCTGAGGAAAATGAAGGTTCTAGGTTGAGCTACTGTTTTTTTTTTTTTCTAGTTGTGCTCTGTTCTCTTCTTCCCCTGGCAGTAATGGTAACAGCAGTAGCTGGAGCAGTCTTGGTTTAGAAGGAGATATATATGAGGAGAATTTATCCTTTCCAACATCAGACAGGTTGGTCGAGTCCAGAAATATAAAGAGATGAGTTCCTCATAATTAATGCATGGAGTAAACACTTTTTGCAGATGAGGGATACAATGCATTTTTGTAATCTGATATATTATCAACACGCTTCTCACCTAATCATTTGATTTTCTTTAATGAATTCATACTGAATGGATAAATTCTGCTGTGCTAAATTTGTGAATGTTCTTTAGGTGCTAAATAAAAATGATCTTTTGTGCATGGTTTGCTTGCTAGTCCATAAGTCTTTCAATTACTTTTTCATGCAAACAAGAGAGCTTGCTTCCTACAGGATTTCTGTTTTTCTCCTTTTGCTTTAGCTTATGAAAACTATTAAATTGCTTTTATAGAGGGGTCTTTTGTATAAATAATATATGATTAAAGAATGCTAAATCCTCATGTCTTGTATCAAACTGAAAATAAAACTTTCCTGCTTACTTAAAGGTAACAAAACAATTTTTCTCCTAAAAAAACAAACAAACAAACAAAAAAACAAAAAAAACCAAAAACAAAAACAAAAAACAAAACCAAGCAAACAAACAGACCAAAAATACACCACCACCACATTTTCATATTCCAGTTAGGATCTCTTTATTTTGTAAACATAGAAATTTGTTAACAAATTCATTTATAACATGAAATGGTGTGAGAAGCAAAGCTTCTTTTTTCATGCTCATTTCCTGATTATTTTTTTTTTTTTAATTTTATTTTTTTTAATAAATTTGTTCTTTTTTCTCTTTAACCTTCATCACCCAGTCATCAGTTTGAATGCATCCATTATTAGCCTACTGGGTTTGTGTTAATATTTTGCTCTTTTATTTTTAAAATCCAGTGATGGAACTGAAGATAAAGAGGAAGAGCCCAAGGATACTGTAGAAGGTAATGACTGTTCCAGCAAGGGTTGCTGTAGCTGTCGTCTCTAAATTGCATAAGTTAGAGAGCAAAGTGAGACTCCCATTTATATGTAGGTTGTTTACCTAATGCACATCAAGTAAGTGTCAAAGGATAAAACCACTTACATACTTTTCAACATCCTTTCATCTACAGTGTTTGAGAAAAAAATTACTTTGGTTGTTCAGACAACATGAACATTTAATAATATGAACTACTGAAGTCAGTTAACTGGACATGTGAAATCAGATGAATGTGGAAAAGGCATGTTAGTACAGATTTCTGCAGAACTGTTGGATGCTGGAGAAATTACTATGATGTTTTTTCATTTTACTGTAGCGTGGTGCAAGTTTTCTTCACAAAAAACAAATGAAAAACATAGGCTTATGTTGCTTGCTGTGTTCTGTTCCTTTTTAGTGCAGCTTAGAATGAAGGCTGCGAGGGAGTCTTTTTATAGCTCAGGGTGACTAGACTCACTCGCTGTGGTTTAGGTATGAGCTGCTAAAGGCTTACATTGAAAGAAGGTGGCCAAAATACACAATGATATGGCCATAACCCCTCCCTACCCCTAAGAATATGAGCTGATATATAACATTTCTGTGCCAACTGTACTTTCCCTTGTATTGTGATAAAATTTTAGATGAGACAAAAGGAGCTTGTAGACGGAAAAGGTTTTGGAAGTGTCGAAGAGAAGCACATAGTTAAGTATTTTTCTCCAAAGCAGGGATATAGCTGGAAGTTTTCAGACAGAATTGATGTGGGGAAACGCATCTTGACAACTGTTGATCCTCTGGATCATGGTGTATGTGCAAGAGGTTATGCAAGCAGCATACCAAGACTTTCAGCACATATGCCTATACAAGAGTATGGAGGATTGGAGGCTGCCCTAGACCTATCATCCCTGCTTTAAACTATCAAGAGGTGGTCCAAAGGTCCAAGTTCAGACATTCAGTGCTTCAATTGTTGTAGCTTCTGCCAGACAGCAGCAGATTAGAGCTGCTGCCCACTGCCTAACACCTCAGCAAGAGTGTCTCTCTGGCAGGGTGATGTCCCTTAGCCTTCCTCCAACTAAGGAGTACCCACAAGGCAGTGGGGGCTAGGGTTTTGAGGTGCCCTATACTCTCTTGTCTCTGGAGGTTGCAACATTGTGGTATTTTATAGGAACTGCCCCACCGTGAGTAATCTCACTACGCTGTCACCTAACCCTCCACAGGTACAAAATATATCTCAGTTTAAAATATTACTCTCCACTTTACCATGGAGTTTTTTAATCTTTCTTGTATTGCCACTTCTATTTAGCCATGTCATCCACTCATTCAGTGCAGAGGACTGTTATTTCTTAGTTTGTTTGCATTGGATTACCACCCAAAGGCCACAGTCAGGGGTGAGATACTTTGTGCAATAGCACTGTGCAGACACAGTAGACATTATCCCTGCCCTTCAGACCATTATCATATATTAAATACTGTATATCATGTTAGTTGTTAGTCTTGTCTGAGTTAATTTACCCTTAGACACTTTTTCAGCAACAGGATTTCTGGGTCTGCAATTTCCTCAGTGAATACTTAGCACAGGTAGGGACCAACTAAAATTGCTATTTTGTGGATTTCGTGAAATCTGGCACTGTCCACTTTTGTGGGCAAAATCCTGGATGGGGGGAAATAAAATCCATGGGGGAAAAAAATGTTGGTTTCCCCAGAGGGGGTGCCTGCTTTAAGGGCTGCCAGTAAGATAACTGCTGTCCTTGCCCTTTGCTGCCGGTTGGCTGCAACAGCTGCCTGTCACTTGGCTCTACTCTTCTCTATTAAGTGGTGTTGAAGGGCAGGGTTGCATGATAGACAACTCTCACAGCCAATCAGTGGTGAGGGGTGGGCCCATATGACAGGCAGACATCACAGCCAGTCAGCAAAGGGTGGGCCCCGTAACCTCAACCGATCAGAGGGGTGTG